AAAAAGAAGAAACACAGAAACAAATTTATGAGGTTGGGTGTGAGCTGTTAAATGAAAGGAGAAGGGTTTTTTTGTAATTAAAAAAAAATAATTTTAAAAAAATATCAAAGAAAGAGTATTTTTGTCCTTTTTCATAATTTCATTCTGATTTTGTTGTAAACCAAACAGGCAGATTTTAATTCATTAGACAAATTACATTTCATTCCTATCAACCAAACACTTGGTCAAACCTGATAACATTTCATTCCAATTCCTTTAACAGATTTCATTCATTCAGAAATCATTTAGCGAACCAAACGCATCCTAAGAGTATTAGGGTGCTACCTTGGTTGGGGATGGATTTTTATTGTGAATTTTTGTTGTATTATTAAAACAAAGCTTTGCTAGGATTTCATATGCTAGGGTGCTTCAAAAGTGAACTGAACAACACATATTGTTGATTACAACCACTTAATCATGCTTTTGCTTCATATTACCCAAAATTCTACAAATAATTTCATCCATCTAAATTCTAATCATGTTGTGGGAATGATCAAGATGATTGTATCAGTCTTTACTAGAGTTTTAACAAGATGCTTGTATCAGTCTTTACTAGAGTTTTTATCAGGATGTTTGTATCATTTATTTTTGTGGGAATACTTGTGTCAAGATCTGGTTCCATTCTTGGACTATTGGTATACATACTTACGAAGCATTTGACAGCTTGTGGATTTAGCTCTAAACTGAGAGGTAAGAATACATTTCCTACTAGAGTTTTATCAAGATGCATGTATCAGTTATTGGTTTTGCTGTAGAAATGCTTGTATCAGGGTCAGGTTCCATTCTTGGACTGTTGGTATACATCAAATTTATATTGATGTTAAAATTTGAAATATGACTCTTTCCTAAAAACCAACCAAACAACCCTGTTACATACATAAAGTCCTCTACTATGCTGCTGTTGTCATATACCCTATGTGCCTACTACTGCTGTCATATCCCCCTGTCCCAACACTGTACCCTTTAGTTGTTTGCTTATTTTTGCTTTGAGATTCTAAAACACAGCACCAAATATGTTTTAGTCTCTTTGTACATGTTTTGTCATGCTCCTGTCAACAGAGCTATTTCTTCATTGTTTGTTCATGCTCTTGTCATTAGTATTAGTTGGTTTGTTTGTGGCTTGGGGTGTGAACAGTGCATACAGAGGTCTAATAAAATTAACCACACTGCCTGAAAGTTGGTCTTACTTAATAGCATCTCACTAAGCATAGAAATGGTATACTTCTGCCTAAAATGGTATGTACCAAGTATATTTATGCACTTTTACTTTTTTAAGCATATATTTTGTAAGCCTTTTCCCCTGTCCCCTAATTGTAAAATGTCAAAATAAATACAAATGATGGGTAAACTTTTAATGTATGTGGCTTAAATTTATTGTCAGTTTGTTGAAGTTATCTCAAGTTAGCGATGATGGAAAATTATGTGAAGATGTTGAATTTTTGGTAAATGATGAACTTTCAAGTTTTGAATTTATTGTCAGTTTGACTATTTGGCATGAAACTTTATATAGAATCAATTTGGTTAGCGGAAAATTACAATCTAAAGATTTGCTACATGATGTTACGATCAATAATTTAAATGTATTGGTTTGTTATTTTGAGAAATATAGGGAGACTGGACTTACTTATGTCATTGTTGAAGCTAAACATATTGAAAATGAAATTGGAATTGAGCCTGAGTTTCATATAAAACGTTCTTATTTTAGAAAAAAAAAACAGTTTGATGAGATTCCAAATACGAAAAGAGAACAACAATTTGCTCAAGAAACATTTATAACTGATTATTTTCTAGTTTTGGTTGATATGGCTCTATCTCAATTGAAGACTAGATTTGAGCAAATGAAAACTTTTGAATTGATTTTTGGTTTCTTCTTTGAGGGGTCAAGGTTGGTTTATTTAAATGATGATGAATCTTGAAGTTGCATTACCAAATGGTGATGCTTGTGATATTGATAGGAAATATTTATTTATGGAATTGCAAATTTTGCAGAAAATGTTATCATCGGAAGCATATAAAGGAGGAAAGCCGTGGACATCAATTGAGATTTTGGAGTTTGCAAAGAAGATGGATATGTTTCCATCTGTGTTTCTTGCATATAGGATTTTGCTGATTGTACCTGTCACGGTAGCATTTGCTGAAAAAAGTTTTTCAAAGCTAAAGTTATTGAAGTTATATTTGCGGTCTACCATGAGTCAAAAAATGTTAAATGGGTTAGCAATTTTGAATATTGAAAGTAAATTTTTAGTGAATGTTGAATATGAAAAAGTAATTGATATTTTTGCTTCAAGAAGTGCACCAAGACATCATTTTAGGTGATATGTTTATATTTTGTAATTTGGGGTTTATTTTTTATGTCCCTTTTGTATTTTTCATTTTAATTAATAAAATTCGGCATAGGATTGAGTTGTCTCGCTTGACTAGGTTCCAAACCCTTTAGTAAAATCGTAACTTTCGTTATTTCATTTGCTTAAAAATAGGAATAGGGGCATTTTTTAGCATCTTTGCACAGGACATCAAAAACCTCAGGAACGACACTGCCTTTATATCATCAAAGCCCTATCAGATTCTTGAAAAAAGGATACAACCACAAATGGATACCTCAAAATTACATACTATGATGCAATTAGAAGACCAGACCTGTTGAAAACTATAAGTGTAACATACTAACATTGCCCCCAAAGTAAAAGTTTTATCTTTAAACTGAATGAATAAAAGGTGATCTAAGGTATAAGAGAAGTGTGGATACTGGTTTTCTTCACAACGAGACTAGCAACTTCATCTCTTATGGTACAAACGAGGCGAAAACCAACAAATTAGATTCACGTTTCAGTATTACAAACAGTAGGTTGGGCTCTTAGCATCATGGGGTTCGATCTCTGTTTATGCACGACAGAGTATGCTACATATTGCTTCCAAAATGTATATGTTTATGTTTTCAATAAACCACAATGACATGATCTTCATTCAAGTTCTGGATGATTCAAATGATAAGCTTTTACGGACTTTATCGGAAAGCATCAACGGTGAAAATGAAAAAACCTATATGGATTGTTGAATAAAACAATAAAACCCAAATAGATGATTGAAGCAAAACCCATAACATCCATCTTCTTAGCGTTCAAGTTTCTCGGTCCTTTAGCAGGTGGCTGCTGTTGTGTTGTGTGTAGATGCAAAAGCAAAACCAGATGCTTTTGCAAGTCGATGGTGGCTTGCAGTCATGATGAAGAGGATCCATCTCATGATTTATTTTTGATGGAGATGGTGGTGGCCGACAAGGAATGGATGCAAGAGATGGTGGTGGCAGGAGAATGGGGAAGAGACTATAGATTTTTTTTCATTGATGAATACACTTGCTGCTATATACACTTATTTACATTGGAACCAAACTTGTATGATATTTTTTTAAGTTTAAATGGTAAAATGACAGGTATACCCCTCATCGAATAGAGCTAAGGTTAATAGAGTTAGGTCAAGGGGCTTAATCCATCACAAAAGTAAAAGCATGGTGACCATGTCTATAATTAATTCGTTTGGAGGACCCAATCCATAATTTTCATATAACCACAGGGATGCAATTTGTAATTTACTCAAAAATCATTTATCTCTACTCAATCAAGTTTTAGTTAGTTTTTTTCTTCATGTTTGTTATATTTAAAAAAAATGATATAAAGAATCTATTGGAGTAATGCAGAGAATATGACCTTTGTTTTCTTTATTTTAGAGAATCTGTTAAAGATGCTCTTACATTTTTATGTAAGATTTAATTTTACTCAATGAAATAGATTTATCATTGAGTAAACTACAAATTTGGTCCTTATAGTTTGTCGAGAATAACACTTTTTGTCCTACAATTTTGAAATTACAAGATAATTATCGTGGTTTGCAAAAATGTTCGGATTTGATCTCTACCTGTTAAATTTTTTTGTTAAACAAGGGGCATTCTCGTCCTTTTATCTATCTATCTATCTATATACACACACACACACACACACACACATATATATATATATATATATAGTTTGTTTCAAATACAACCCGTCGCATTTGTACAACTAATGCAATATAATAAATTGAGATATTTATGGAAATGATGAGAGTTCATTTATTATGATTTGAATATTTATGAAAGATGAATATGTTTCATTAATTATGATCAATACTTTATATTAGGAAACAATCAAAACTTCTATGAAATCACGTATTAATCAAATGAAATGGACGGTTGAGATTGAGTTGTATTGGTTGCACAAATGTCAAGGGTTGTATAATAACCAACCTATATATAATATATATATATATATATATATATATATATAATTTTCTATTCAATCAAAATCGATTTTATGAGTTTGGTAACGATATTTTTGATGGAGTAAAAGATAAAAAATGAATACAAGGTCAAAAATGTCTCTCATTTAACAGAACTTTTTAACTGACATTAAAAATAGGTTGAATTTATGATGTTTTTATAGAAACTTTTATGCCAAATATCATACCGGATTTGATGTTACCAAAACAATAAAATGATAAATCAGGTAGTGTTTGGTACGCAGGCTGGACGGGACGGGATGGTACGGGACAGGACAGGACAAGACTAATTGTCTGTCCTATGTTTGGTACGACTAGAACATGATAGAACAAAACTATTAAAATGACCATATTACCCCTAAATGTAGTACAATGTTATTTTATATCATATAATAATTGTAAAATGACAACAAATCAACCAAAATATTGTCATATTAATTTCAGTTCCATATTATTTTACCTTTTTTACTGAAACAAAAAATATCAAGATTTATCCTATTAAAATTAAAAATAGTCTCAACTTATTCCATATTTTTTTTTTTTTGCATGACATGCTATGGGACAATTTTTTGTCCCGTCCTATCCATGTAGCCTCCATACCAACCGCACCGTCAGTGTCTACATCACCCAAAAATGGAGATGTTCATTTGGCCGAAGAATTCCCTTGTTAGAAATGGGATCTGGCACCATTGATTCCCCACATGTGATGTGATCAAAAGATCCCTTTGCATTTGTTTATTTATTTACTCCACAGCTCGCCAAGTATCTACTGCTTGTACTCGACAACTCTTCCCCCATTTCTTTATTCCATGAAAATCGAATTTAGTTAACCACTGGAACATACAACAGCTACACAAAGGATCGTCTTCAGATCTTTCTTTTCAAGTTTTCTTTGTGTCACAAACAACAATGGCGGATGAACCTTCCGTCACTCGTTGGTCCTTCCAGGTAACTGAAATCTGTGTATTTTGTTTTGTGGTTGGTTTTTTAAAATCCATTGTCACGTTGAATTACTTGTTGGTTATCGAATTTAGTCAAATCGGATACGTTTGGAAGTAATCACAACAGCATTTTAGCTGCTAGGTATGGATTTACAATCTTAGGAAAAGTGGAAGTGGCAACGAATTTGCAAGTAAAAATGCTATAATTAGTATATGATTCTCGTTACGGATCATGCATAGCCATAGAACAATGATTGGTCATTATGTGACTAGGGTTGAGAACTGAGAGATTATTCAATTCAACATTGTCTCTTTGACGAAGCAAATTTGTAAAATTTGTGAATCTTCTTAGGGTTTAGGTTTGTTTGTTTATGAATTGGACTGTTAGAAGTTGAGTATTTACTGAATAAACACTCGGATGATGCTAATCACTAGACTTCAAAAGAGATTGTTAACTATAAGCTTTTGGTATTGTTAATAGAGTGCTTCTTTAGGAAAACAAATCTTAAAATGTAAGTCATGCTATTTGCAGTTTATTTTTGGTTGGATCTCTGAAAGACAGGTAACATAAGGTGACTATGTTACTATAATCTTGTTTGTTCTATATCTAGGATTTTAAGATGTTTTATGATATTAAGTTTGGGAGGAAAAAGGAAGTCGTTCCAAAAGATGCTGCTGCAAATGGTCAACAGACTAATGGTCAAGCTTCGAGCAACGGAAACTCATCGATTGCAACCTCAAATGGAAGTGGGCACCCAAACAGCACATCTGAATTGTCAATATATGAACAGTACAGACAGGTATCCCAGATCTGTATTATTGGCCTTTGACTCTTCCTAAAAGAAAAGTTGGTTTTAGCAAGGGAAGCATCAATGCTTTTAAAAAAGAACAATAAGTACTAGTTTCTGAAATTTTGTTTCTAAAGTGGATGACTTGTTTGGTGTTTGTATTAATATTTTGTTTTATTCAGGCAAGAGAGAATTCAACCCCAAATGGAGTTACATCATCGGATGCTGAGAAACCGTATGTTCTCTTTTTCTACTCACTTTGCTTTTCCTATACTACTTCTACACCGATAGTGAAAACATGCTCTGATGCTCTGATAGTACATGCAATTGATAACTTGTTGATTTTGTATTAGATAATCAGAACACTGATGGTATGAATTTCAATGGAAGAGCGTAAATGTATTTTATTTAGGGCTTGTGAACCGCCTATATAGTAGAACAATCATGCCATGCACTAATTAAAGTTCCACCCATCTTACTGTCCTGTGTTAGTCAAATCCCCAAACTTGCGACTAGAAATTTTTTAGTTTGAAAATGAAGAAATGTGAAATAGAAGCTTTGAAGGGAATAGTTGTACTCAGTATTTATATGATAATTATTCTATACAATATGCTTAATGGTCCCACTTACTATGCGAACCCACATAAATTGCTAGAGAGTGGCCACCGTGATTAGCTTGAGACACTATCTCCGTATATACCCGTGAGCTACATGTAGTATGAGAATGGCCATTGTGAGTATAACTTGAGAGGTTAATTGTGCACTATGTGGTATGCTTCATGAATTAAAGACATGACACTAGATGAAAAGGGGATACCCTTTGAATGGTTGTCGGGTCATTGAGACAAATTAATCATGGAAGATTCTTGATGGCATATTTTGGGAATCATTTTTAAACCATATGACATTCGTAAAATGTATGTCTATATTCAGATGGAGGGACTGTTCCTTATGCATAAAAAACAATGAAAGACTTGACTCCCTATGTGGCTAAAGAACCAAATGAAGTATAGCATATAATTTGGAATACCATTGAATTTTGATGTTTGACGTGTTGTTTATGCAGAAGAAAGTCTCTGCTTCCTGCTTTTGAATCAGCAGAAATGCGAACTTTGGCAGAGAGTTTAAGTAGGTAATGATAGACTCGGATCTTGGTGCTCTTATTTTTACTAATTTAGGTAAGTTTAACTTAGTTTATTTGTTCCAAATACACATGAATTGTCTAATATCTGTTGCATATGCAGGGATATTATTCGTGGTAGTCCAGATGTGAAGTGGGAGAGCATAAAGGGGTTAGAGAATGCAAAACGCCTGCTTAAAGAAGCAGTTGTTATGCCAATCAAATATCCCAAGTAAGTATTACTAGTGAATAGGTCAGATTATGTTCTACAGGTTGAAAAGAAAGAACTTGTCCAAGTGCCAAAGTCTTAGTTTATTAATTAAAAAATCAGCGTTCTATGGCTTTTCTAAGAATAATAGACAAAGTGAAGTTACTCACTCGTAGCTTGATTGTTGTATGGATTTTTCATCTATTCTCTTTGTTATTTGTTTTGGTCGGTGATGGGAGTGGGGAAGGATACTGGAAGGCAGGATGTTTCATTGTATATATGTTTGGCATATAAATCATTCATTTGTATGACACATGGAATTTTCGGAGGCTTCATTGATGTTCCTATTATTCCAATATTATTTTTTGAGCTTATTTTTGGTTGTCCTTTTTGGATATTAGAGTTGTTTGACCTCTTATGAATCTAGGATTCAAGCTTCCACTTTTATAACTGCTTTCTCTTTGGTCTCCCTTTAGAACCATTAGACAGAGCATTGATAAGCATGAAACCTGAATAGTCATTGGATGCATGACAACTGGTCCATTTGCAGGTACTTCACTGGTCTTTTATCCCCATGGAAAGGAATCCTCTTGTTTGGTCCTCCAGGAACCGGAAAGGTTTGCATCTTGCACCCCTTTTTCTGTTTTCTGTTTAAGCATTATGATGCTATTTAACTTGTTCTTTTTTGTCTTTGCTAGTTTATCTTAATGTGTGATATTTGTGCTTAAACGGGTGTTCTTTATACCTATGTTATCATACCAGACCTTCATTCTTGGATCTTACTAGACATTTCAAACATGTGTTTTTTCATTGTACAAATCCCACCAAATTTGTTGGATGTTTGCTACCTTCTCGATTGTTGCTTGTTATTAAAGAATGGCTTCATGGACAGGCCTGCTGATGACAGATTATTTTGTGCCTTTTCTGGTGGTGGGGGTAGTTAGGAGTGTGCATTGGGTTGGAATCCGACAGAACCGGACCAAAACTGAAAAATAATGGCATTGAAAACTGAACCAATTTAAATCGATTTTGCGCCAAACCGAACTGTGAACTGAATGCATACGTGGGTTTGTTGACTTTGTTCTATTTTTTTGAAAAATATAAACCTAACAACGCTGTTTCAAGTTTAAAATCTTGAACCGAGAGCTGGTTTTAAGAAAAATCTAGAACCGAAAACCAAACGGAACCTGGCCGGTTCTGGTCCGGTTTCTTCTGGTCTTGGTCCAGTAATTTGGTTTTTATCAGTCTGGACCGGGTTTTGCCCACTCCTAGTGGTAGTCGGTCTTTGCCCATTTGTTTTGAGCAACAAAGATGTATCAGACGAGATGATATTCTCATAAGATAACAGTAGCTACACATATGTATTCCTAATCCTTGCTATTACCATGATACTTAATAATTATACCACCTGTCTATATTTGGAAAAAGACAGAAGAAGCAACTGAAGTTGCTTGTATTTTTTAATTGTGCGGAATACTTGAAATAGAAACTGTGGTACTCTGCGGCCTATTATGTAGATTTGATTAGCTGGCTTTCCTAAAGTTACATCTGTTCTAGAAAATGTTAATACAGTGTTTCTTTCTACTCTGCTTCTCTTTGAACTGAATATATATCTTTGGTTCTCCAGACAATGCTTGCAAAGGCTGTTGCAACCGAGTGCAATACTACGTTTTTCAACATTTCAGCATCATCCATTGTCAGCAAATGGCGCGGTATGTCGCTATTAACAGTTCTTGTACATTGTAATATGTGTTCCTCATTGGGATGGAATAAGGTCTGGTGGTGGCATGCAAGGCAGGCAACAAACTGCATTTTTTTGTCCCACCAATATAGGTGGAACAAAAATCTGTGAGATTGGACAATATTGGTCAATTGCTAAACTACCCATGTCAAATTGAAACCCTAAAAACCTACAAGAATTCTTTCACCCACCTCCTCACCCTCACCGGTCCAGTCCAGTCCCATCTGTGTACTTAGCGGATCCTAACAGAGCCTCCCTAGAATGTTCTCTCTGACAAGTGAAAGCAACAAAGAAGAGTGCACACTAGTAGGTGGTCGCAAGTTGGTGAACATCTCATGATGAAGTGACTATGCCGACTAAATTGTGTAGTTTCGACGAGTCCAATAACATATTAAAAAATGAGCAAATATAAACCCCCAAAAGAAGTTTACACTTGCAATTTATCTCAGAACTGCTTAAGAACCTAAGGTCGGGACTCAAGGGAGCGTACTCTAACTCATCCATAACTTGTTGCAAATGCATGCGGTACTCATGCATGGGATGATCACCCTGAGGGCAGCAAGGCTAGCTTAAGAAACTGAATATGCATGTGGCATACTCGTAAAGCTGGAATAAGTAGCTGACATATGATCCCACAAAGCGTTTGACATGCCATAGCTATAAGGATTTTATCCTGTTTTTGTTCTGCCTGAAGAATACAGAATGTCACTATCAACAGATTGCCATTCAAGTTCAATTGACTTTTTAGAATTCTTAGTCAAATCATCATGCTGTTTTCTGTGAATGATGGTGCACAGTAGTAAACCACCATTTCTATCAATCATTTGATAAAACAAAAGGCATGGGAGACTAACCACATGAAAAATGTGAAAAATAAAGCAGCAAACCAAGTGCATTAAACTAACCAAGCGAAGACACGAAAGATGTTCAGCTAATGCTAAGCAAATCTGGTCATATACAGCCTGTAAAAAACTGCCACCATCCAAAATCTTGAACCAGTCTGGGCCGAATTGATGTTGCTGAAACGACTAGCAACAGAAAGAAACTAACAAATGGATCCTAAACCAAGTATGTCAGATCATATAATGATGCCACTGGTTGGCAGAGGCAGCAGAGAAAACCAGCAAACAACCGAGAACTAGGCACCAACTCCAAGATTACGCAGGCTGTCATGCGCCATCTCTGAAGACCTAAGCAAAAATAATATACCTGAGACAAGCTAATACAAGGGAAAGAGTCAAAAACCAAGAATACACAGATACCAAGATAAGAATTACTGCATGCTAGATCTCAGAATCAAATACCAGAAGATCCTCAGAAGAGGTCAACAAACAAACATGTACTTACCTGGTACCTTCATTAAAGAAGGCGGAAACCAACAATAATAATAGTATTTGAAAAAATCTTGATGGAGCCCTGACGTGGATCCACAAGGCTGCCTCACAACCAAATCATCACGGACCAAGTGGTTAACTTTAATACTCAAGACTACTAAAAGAATTGAAACACAAGTACTAACTTTAACAGTCCAAACTACTAAAAAATGTTACTGGATCCATACATGGATCAACAAGGCTGCCTCACAACCAATCAACATAGACCAAGTGAGTAAATTTTACAGTCCAGACTACTAAAAGAATTGTTGATGTACGTTAATCAGCCTTATCAAGTGGAGGGCATACTAGGAAGTGGGAGTAACTACAGTTATGTTTAGCAGAACTTTAAGAAAGCTTATTTAAAAACTTAAGGTACAAGTATTATCTTATTTGAAACCCATATTCTTGAAGTTTGGAAAATATAGGAATCAGTTATATCTTAAGTGTGGTGTTGTAATAGAGTACCTTTGATTGGATAATATTGCAAAGAATATTATTTTCTGATCTTGAACGGAATACGCTTATCTGCGAATGAAACGGTTTATGTCATAACTTATATATCTAAGATTACAAGTTTGATCTGGAGTGCTGTGTTAGGATGCCAATGTTAATGCAATCAAGTAAAACCACATAGTCGTTGTATTACCATGCCAGTGATATACGTGAATAATGGGATACTCTAAATCATTGGAGTTCTGAGATAAGTCTGGTCATGAACATGAGAAGGAGAGTATAGAGGAACACAACTTTTTAAGCTGAACACTTTTTTCGGGGTTTCTGTTAGAAAGTTACATAAAGGCATCGTGTTAACTTTTCTCTGTCAGCCTGACTTTTAGTTTGTCTCCTAAGTAGGGATGGAGTTTGAACTCAGATGAGTTAACACTTAAAAGATCCAACCTGTTTGCCTGTCTGGCTGGTCTTCAAGCTGAGCCTGCCATGAGCTAATGAGTTTGGCTTGGGCTCATTGTTTGTGTAAGTAATAAGTTAATATATTTCAGGCCTGATTGTAGGCTTACTTTCTTTACACTCGAACATCAACAGGGTAAACTTGAATTGGCTTGAAAGACATTATTTGAATTTTTATGTGCATCTTGCCTATAGTATTTTCCTGTCATACTTGAGCTCACTTTGTAGATTCTAAATATATGGATAAACATAAAGCATAGATGTTATCTTAGAAATTGGATAAAGATACTATACAATTTGATATTTTATCTTGATGGGTATGCTCTTAATATCCTATGTCATGCCACACTTTTGTCTCTAAACATATATGCAATAACAGGTGACTCCGAGAAGTTAGTGAAGGTGTTATTTGAGCTCGCAAGACATCATGCACCGTCAACTATATTTCTGGATGAGATTGATGCAATCATTAGTCAACGTGGTGAATCACGAAGTGAGCATGAATCAAGTAGGCGTCTGAAAACAGAGTTACTTATCCAGGTGAAATTTGTTTCCCTCAACTGCAACTGCCTTTAGATACCAACTAACCTACTATTAGAAGACCATCTTGAATGTCCACCTAGTACACATTATGAACTTAGATATGTGTGTTATTTTTGTTTTCTTAAATTGGAGTTTAATATTATATGGTAAATAATATGCATGCTTGTGTTGGCTTTTGTTATAACTATTCACATCATTATAGAACCATCACAACTATAGGAAGATGAACAATTGCTATGAGTTAGTTCTTTATTTGATCTATTTAGTTATTTTCTGTAATTACATGTTCACAGATCGATCTGATACATATGTATCATATAATTGTTAATATTTATGTGGCTTCTATGAGACTGGCTAAAGTTAGTTTGATCTTCATTTACTTCATTCTTATTGCTTTTGGTTTGATTACAGATGGATGGTCTGACAAAAACGGATGAGCTCGTTTTTGTATTGGCAGCTACAAACCTCCCTTGGGAACTTGATGCTGCCATGCTCAGGCGTCTTGAGAAGAGAGTATCCTTGCCAAAGACTATTTCATTTTCATATTCATGGAATCTTTATAAATGCTTTCTGCTGCTTAATTACAATGAAATGAAGTCAAAGCTTTTCACTAGTGCATGGCCAATGTCATTGTTGCTATTGATATGCATAGATAATTGATAGATTTTATATTATTCAATAAATACGTAACAATCATACAGCAAACCCAAAAATCCTTTTACCCGGAATTAGTTTTTATAAGCTAAATAGGAAGCATATCAGAAATTTTGAAGCATGTAAAGCAATCAAGACTCTGTTGTATCATTCCATACATTTTCTTTATTCTCTTAATCTTCAGACACACACACACATAGGGTCATGTTTAAGGGAAAACCGCAAAAAAAATGAAAAAGTGAGGAGGAACACCCTGGTAACCGTTTATCTGGACGGTATGCACATGTGCATACAAGTAATTTGTAAGCAATTTGTCCGGTGTGCACCTGTGCGTAACATGCACTAGTGCATAAAAACCAAGAAACAACTTCAATTACTTGTATGTACTTGTGCATACCGTCCAGATGAATGGTTTATCCGGGTGTTCCTCGGTTTTTTTGGGGGTTTTCCCATGAACCTCTCTCTCTCTCTCTCTCTCTCTCTATATATATATATATATACACACACACATTTTTTCATTCCATTCCAATTTCTCTTGATTTTTGCTTTCCCCTACCTCTTCTAGTGCAACTTTATGCTACAAGTCCTCTTCAGTGGTGCATCCACATGTCTACAATGGAGATGAACAAAACCATTGCCTAATTACAGTTGCTGTTTCTCTATTTTTTCTTCTTGAAGTAAATTCGAATGTTCTTTAGCCTATAAATTGTAGGATTAGTCCATCTGATTTATGATATTCTGAATTTAGCATGTGAATAGAAGTCCAGATCATATCTTCTTTAGTGCTTCTTAAATTATTATGCAAGATCCTTGTACCTCTTCCAGAGCCTGAAGCAAGGAAAGCCATGTTTGAGGAGTTATTGCCTACAGTACCTGAAGAGGAGACACTTCCGTATGATTTGTTGGTGGAAAAGACAGAAGGTTATTCAGGTTCTGATATACGGTTGCTATGCAAAGAGGCTGCTATGCAACCTCTGAGACGTGTAATGGCTATTCTGGAAGAACATGATATGTTGCCTGATGATGGTACGTTTCGTGTAACATTTCTACTTACATTCTGCAGGTTGTTTTTCTTTTTCCTATTTCTGTTGTCATTTGGGATGGAAATCATAAATTCATTATGTTATTTAGTTGGGAACAAAAGATACGTAAGATGTATAATGTGGGCAGCTTACCTCAAGTTTCTTGTAAGTACTACTTCTGCCTCCGTCTCAAAATAAATGCCCACAATGAGAAAAGGCACAATTTTAAAAAATGTGTAATTATAGCACTTCTTAATTGTTACTCCCTCTGTCCCAAGATAATTGTCTACAATTAAATTGGCACACAGTTTTAGGCATGCCATAATTATTACACTTTTTAGGTAACCTAATTGATTCATCTATCTCATCAAATCTTAGATATTTGTGCATTAATTAAGGATAGATTTGGAGGCTTAGTTATTTGTGTTTGAAAATTGACATTTGTTTGGGACAAACATAATTGGAAACGTGGACACTTATTTTGGAACGGAGGGAGTAAATGACAACTTTACCCTTCATAACAAGGAGTTTACGAACGAATTTCTCCAGCTCATAATTAAGGATAGAATTGGAAAGTAGACACCTACTTTTGAATGTGTACTAGTCTTATTTTCGGATATATGTGGACATGTATTTTGGGTCGGAAGGTATATAATTTATAGTATTGCTGTTTTGTGCCTTAGTCTATATTCCTCATTGTTATTCTATGATCGAAGATAAATATGAATATTCTTAGGACTAAGAAGGCTGAATATGGTTATCCATCTTGTAATGTGTTTTTTGTTAAAAAGCTCATCATAATATGCAAGTTGTATGAGATAAATAATATTTAGCAGTAAAATATATTGGTTTGGTTTGGTTTGGTTTGGTTTGATTAGATTAGATTTGATAATGTCTGGGATATACCGGGTTTGTGTACATCTTATCTTCTAAAGCGTTATTATCTTTTATGAGATGTTGCTTTCTATCAAAAGTGCCTTAGCAGCATGATGGTCCTTGATTGAACCGCTGCATCCGTTGATTTGCTATTCACTCTAGTTATCATCATCAATGGGTGATATTTGGAGCCATAAAGTCGCATAATCCACCTCTTCTCAAAGAGTAGGTTTCTCTCCCAAACCTTTGCAAAACCGAAGAGTCTTTGGTGTTGTTAACAACTTAACATAAGGGCTGTTACCAAAAGTTAAAGAGTCTTCTCCCTCACTTACCGGGTAAGATTCTCGGTCCTTGCCATGCTCATTTGGTAAGATAATTGATATTTGGTAAGCGCTTACCCAGTATGCATTTGGTAAACAGTCCCTTAGTGCTGATTGTCTTTTTATCGTGTAAGAACCTCTTATGCGGTAAAAGATGTTTACCTACACTTCTGACTGACCAAGGTGCTATGTCGCTAACCGAGCCATACGGTGCTTACTCAAATTGTTATTTATCAGTAATCACATACTAAGAACCTTTGGTAAACAACTATTTCTGTCAGCGCTTACTCAAACCGCACTCCTACTTGGTTAGCAATTACCCAAGTTGTGTTGCACCAAACTTATTTTGAATCATCTATGACGTGGTGGTTGTGTTTATTATATACTTATGTGGATAACTTATTTGCAGAGCTGCCAAAGGTGGGTCCAATCAAACCCGAAGACGTTCAAACAGCATTAAAGAACACGAGGCCTTCTGCTCATCTACATGCTCCTCGTTATGAACGGTTCAACTCCGATTATGGTAGTCAGATACTGCAGTGAAGGGAAAAACATCAAGCGTTTGGTTCAATTGTTGCTTCCCATTTTTACCCCCATCTCAACTCTTCCTATTGCTAGTCCATTGCCTATCATAATGTTGAATTTAGTTTACATGATTTATATTTTTTTCCATCTCGTGTCGGGTGTGTTGTTCATGAGTACGAGATGAAAATCTCGAAAAAGAATAGATGTAGCTCACAACCGTTTATGTCAAATCCGACCTGCATCTGCATCGAAGTATATTTGTAACTGCATAGATGGTGCATTTTCCGGTCCAGAAGGGAATGAAAATGGGAATCTTTAATGGTATCTGGTTTGATGCAATGAAATGAGTTATTACCGGGTACCAAATAACAAACAGAAATGCACAAGGCCTAAGCTTAATTCGGCTTGGGTCCTGGCCTGGTCTTTTGAGCCCGTTTCTCTATGAGAAATAAGAGGATTTTCAGATCGGGTTTTTTTTAAACGCGAAATTGGCCCAATTAAGCTTTCTCAGGTTGGGCTAGTGATGGCCAAACCGGCTTGGAACCGCCGGAGGACCGGACCGGGACCGTTGAGGACCGTATATGGGACCGCCGGTTACGACCGGTTGAGTCTTTTGTCGGTTTTGTGGGACCGGGATCGACAGGACCGGGACCGGTTATCTGACCAGTTAAGGACCGGCCCTCAAATTCAAAAAATCTATCTGTTATATAGCCGTTAGAGAGATGTTATATAGCCGTTTTTTTTTTTGTAGTTTTTGGCCTCAAAACACTATAAATATGTAGTTTTGGTTGAGAGGTTTACATACCTACTTCTCAATTTGCAAAAAGACGTTCAAAATTCTTGGTTTCTCGCTATATTTTGTGAATTCGACTCGTATTCATTTCTCGTTTCCACTTCACAATTCGCATTTCTTTATCTTTGTCTTACAAAATGGCCGGTGAACAACATGATGCATCAAAAGAACAAGTTGCCCAAGTTCTCGCCGAACACGGACGGAAGTCCGAGATTTGGAATCACTATAACTTGGTGGTCCTCACGAATGGAAAAAGAAAGGCACAATGCAAAATGTGTCAAGCTCTCCTTACGGCGGAAGAAAATTCTGCTTTAAGGAGGCACACCGAAAAAACGTGTCCGGGGTTGAGGTGGGGGGCGATTCAAGCCAACCGATACTTGACACTCAAGATCAAATATGTCGTATGATGTCGAGTTGAATTGACAAATGACAACACAACGTGTCATTCAAGTCGGGTTGTTGTTCGGACATTTCGACAACTCTCACGTTACAAAGTTGATTCAAAAGACGCTACAACCACGATACAAGCCGATAAGTCGCCAAACCCTTAGACGTGATGCAATAAAAATGTGGAAAATGTATCAGGCTGAAATGCAACAAATGTTTTCCGTTTTGCCTAACAATATTTCTTTACCATGTGATGTATGAAGCGCATCATACGGATTGCCGGTTTCGTATACATGCATTACGACACATTAGGTTGAGCCTACATCATGACATTTATTTAAACGTGTAATCGTGTTTGAACCGTTTGGTGCGCCACATTCGGGCGCACGCCAATTTTCAGTTATAAAAAAATGTCTTGCATTTTATAATTTAACTGCTAAAATAATTTCATTTGATAACGCTAGTAATAACAATGCTTGTGTGAAAAAATTAAAATGTCATTTGACACCTAATTTAGCCGGTAAATTATTTCATACACGTTCTTGGGGACACATAATAAATTTAGTCATTCAAGACAGTTTAAATACTTGTACACACGTAATAGATAAGTTTAGACTTATATTGTGGTGAATTTTCACAAAAGGTAAGAAAATGAATGTGGAATATAGATAGTATTGCAAGGACGTTGGTTTTAGAGCTTTGGGACCGAGGTTCGATATGCCCGTTCGTTGGAATTCGACTTATTTTATGATTGAAAATTTAATAAAACAAATTATAATTTTTTATTTTGATAGACACCATTACCCGCAAAATGCTATTGGAAATCTTGATTGGGCCGTGATCGAAGGATTGTTCGATATTTTAGGCGATTTTAAAAATGCGACAACACTTTTATCCGGTATTTATTACCCAACAAGCCCTTTAGTTTTAAACCAATTATATATTTTGGCAAGTAAGATTGTTCAATACGAAGACCATCACAATTGGGGAAAGTTGATGTCTTCAATGAAAAAGAAATTGTTAAAATATTTTATGAGCATCCCATTTACTTTTATTTGTGCTGCAACGTTAAACCTGTATTTAAATGTTACTGGTGTTGAAGTTTTAATTACACATATATATGTGTGACTTTTAGTTTAGATACCGCGACGGATAATTCTTTTTCAATGGAACAAAAACGTTTGTTTAATCATAATTTTAAAGATTTATTTGATCATTACAAACATTTTTGCGGAGAAAGAAACCAACAACAAAGCTCTTCAAGTAATGGCTTTGCGGGTTCTAGTTCTTCTTCTAGTAGTCATCGACAAGGTCTTAAAGAGTCGATGACTAATTTAATGAACGAGTTTTTAAATGAATCAAGTAAAAAAAATCGATTTGATAACAATTTGGGAGAACTAAATATGTATGTGCATACTAACTTTATAGTCGCATGCCCTGCAAATGATGTCGAAGATTTTGACAAAAATTGATTTATTAGATTTTTGGAAACAAAAACAACATCAATTGCCGGTTTTGGCGTGCATGACATGTGATATACTAACAATATAAGCTAATACCGTAGCTTCAGAGTCGGCATTTTCTCTTAGTGGCAGGATCATTTCCATACATCGAACAAGACTAAGCCCGAAGTCCATGGAGTGTTGCATCTGTTTGAAGGATTATTTGGATATCGTTGATAGGATTCAACACACGACATCGTTAGAGATGGAGATTGAAGCGGTGGAAGAAAATCTGGAAGAAAATGAAACCGTCATGGGACTAAGCACGCCGTCAACTACAGATACCGACATCACTTACTCACAATATGACGATGATGAGGAACTCGGCATTGATGACCTTGATGACCAATAGGCTATTAGAAGAATTCAAGACAACGGAACTCTTCAAATCAATCCGACATGGGATATCGATGAAGACTGATGAATAAATGTATTTTCAAATAATTTTATAATAAATTTTTGTAAGACAATGTAATTTTATTTATAATAAAACATATTTTTAAAGTGTATTTGAGTGACCTATATGACAAATATAATAGCATATTAAAAATATATATCATTAAAAAAAATTTAAAAAATAAAAACAGTATTTTTCAAGGTTGGGACCGGGACTAGGACCGGTACCCCATAACCGGTTACACATTGGCTTGACCGGTCTTCATCATTTCGATCGGAACCGGTTACACTAGGACCGGTTACGCCGGTTATGCACATTATAGGGCCTGATTGGGACCGGCCCGGGATCAGTTTTTGGCATCACTAGTTATGCAATGCATCGTGTGAGACAAAAAGTTAAGATAAAAAACATAAGAAAAGGATCTGACGCTCAGAATTGCTTGTCCAAAATATGCCTAAACCAAAAATACTAAAAGTTTATTCTAGAAGAATAAAAGGAGCAAATCAGGAAAGTGGCTAAATAAAAACGGTTAAAGGAGAGAGAGAAAATAAAAAAGGGAGGAGAGAGGGCGTTTATTTCCATTGTAATGGCTTTTAGCAATTTTGCTATGAGAGAGGAAGATTCCCTGGTTGTTCTTTGTCATTCCTTTCATTAGTTCAATCAAACAATTCATTCCCTAATTATGTATTTCATTTCTCAAATCAATTTGAAGAGCAAATCCAACGATTACAAGCTGATGTGGTGGAAATTAAAGCTGCAATGAAGGCTCTGGATACCGATCGTGAGGAGTCCGCTGAGTTTCGTAAGGTGGTTTTAGCTTGGATGAAACAACAGGGCAAACCTCTTAGTTATGACCTCGGTGTACAATCGGGTATCGTTGGTGCATTCCAATTCTGGTCACCCAGTCTATTGTGAATTTCAACCCGTCTGGTAGTGGTGAACTACCGCTGCCTTCGACCCCGGGTTCATATGAATCCTTGCTTTGGGCAATGAAGAAGATCAAGCTCCCTAAGTTTTATGGATTCGATCCTCAAGGATGGATCCAGAAGGAAACCCTATATTTCGACATTAATGGTACTCCTACCCTTCGTATTCCTTTAGCACAATTGAATACGATGGGTGTAGCACAACATTGGTTCACCATTGTTAAATAAGTTTATGATTCTCTTACGTGGGAAGAGTTGCAATGTGAATTGCTCCAACATTTTAGTGGTCTGGAAATCCAAAATCTGTTTGAACAGCTTGCTACAATTAAATAATCGAATTCCATCTATGATTACATCGATGACTTTGAATATTTATTATCCCTAGTCCCTAAATTACCCGAATCACAAGCTTTAGGATATCTTATTGCTGGATTACCGGATGACATCAAATGTGGGTCCGTCTCTATCGACCTTCATCTCGCTTAGACGCCATGTACTTGGCCAAAGACATAGAAACAATGCTTCGCCCTTCTTCGGTTAACCTCTCCTAGTCTAGATTTCGCTATTAGTAAGGTGGGCCTGGGGGTGATTTTCAGAATGATAGGCGGCCTCTTTTGTTGGGCCAAATGGATCAGAAAGGGTCCCATAATACCTAAACCCAATGACAAGCCTCCCCTGTTTCGGGGAGATTCCAACCACTCCCTGCCTTTCACACGTACTATAGGGACAAATTCCCAAGAATTTGCGCCATTTATTAATCACAATCGTGGAATCCGTTCCTCACACGCACTGAATGAGAGGAACGTTAGAAAAAAGGGTTATGTTTCCGTTGTGGTCAACAATTTGGACCTGCACATAAGTATCCCGAAGGAAAGCTTCAGATCTTGTTGTTGGGGGATGATGAATCTGGGGAAGATATGGGAAAAACTTGTTATATGGATACAACCGCTGAGCAGGCTATTCTTGATGAAGAAACTACTCCTACAGGTCTGTGTACGGCTTTGGAGTTTCTTGGAGCCACATCAGTGTCGTCTTTGGGGGGTAAGACGTTGAAGTTTGAAAGGGCTATATTGGATATTCTGGTGGTAATTTTGGTATATAGCGGGGCTACCCATAATTTTATTTCACGAAAATTGGTTTCATATTTGGGCATATCTTCGATTTTTTTCAGTGGCATTAATATTCAACTTGGAGATGGTCATAAAGTTTTTATTAATCAACGGTGTGTTAATTTAGGGTATTAGCTGGTGGCTGCGAATTTGTGGTGGATGCTTTGGTATTTGATATGGGACATTTGGATATGGTATTAGGCATGGAGTGGCTCAAAACACTTGGTGATGTTGTTCACAATTGGGACAAATCTTCTATGTAGTTTGTATTTCACGGAGTTTTTGTTCATCTTCGCAGGTTGGACAAATCTCAAAACTCTCAAGCTTCTCTTCACAGTTGGTTATCGATAACTGATAACTCTCTTCTCTCTTGTTCTTCCCTGTTGCCCGCTGAAACAAATAAGGAGTTGGTTCTTACCTCACGCCAAGACCAAAAATTACAGTTTTTGTTTGACCGATTTTCGGACGTTTTCGTGACCCATCGGGGCTGCCACCTCCTCGTCCACATGATCATGTATATCATTGATTGCTTCACATGAACCAATTTGCGTTCGCCTGTATCATTATTCTCACATTCAAAAAACAGAGATTGAAAAGCAAGTTCGGGAACTCCTCTCTCTAGGTATGATTCGACCGAGTAAAAGTGTTTTCTCTAGTCCTGTGATATTGGTAAGAAAGAAAGATCAGACATGGCGTACATGCGTGGATAATAGAGCCCTTAATAAGGCCACAATACTGGATAAATTTCCGATTCCAATGGTGGAGGAACTCATTGATGAGTTACACTGTGCTCGTTTTTTTTTTCTCTAAATTGGATTTAAAGTCCAACTATAATCAAATTAGAATGCAATTGGATAACATTGAGAAAACCGTGTTTCGAACGCATGACAGACATTATAAGTATATGGTAAGGCCATGACCTTTCAAGCAGTGATGAATGATGTGCTTCGCCCTTTTCTACCCAAAAATGTGGTGGTTTTCTTATAGTCCTTTTTTGTCTAAACATGTGAAGGATTTGAAGAGTGCTTTGGATGTCCTTTTGAAAAACCATTTTGTTGTTAACCACAAAAAGTGTTCATTTGGCCAAGTTTCCGTTGATTACTTGGACCATATTATTAACCGTTATGGGTAACCACATATCTCAAGAAAATCGAGGTTGTTTTGGCGTGGCCAGTTCTGAAACAAATTAAAGGTTTAAGGGGATTTTTGGGTCTTATCGGATATTATTGGAAGTTCATCAGGCATTAGGGGAGTATCGCCAAACCACTTACAGACTTGACAAAAAAAAGATGTTTTTCATTGGAATTCTGAAGCTCAACATGCTTTTGAAGTTTTGAAAGAAGCCATGGTTATGCTCCTCTCTTAGCATTACCATATTTTCAACTTCCATTTGTGGTCGAATGTGATGCATCCGATCGTGGCATTGGGGTTGTTTTGATGCAACAGAACCGCCCAATTGCATATTTTAGTAAAGCTCTTGGCGAGCGAAACTTGGCAAAATCGGCATATAAGAGAGAAATCATGGCGTTGGTGCTCTTGATGCAACATATGCGTTCTTATTTGTTGGGCACTAGATTTATCGTTTACACGGACCAAAAAAGCCTAAAATTCTTGTTACAACAATGGATTACTACACCGGATCAACAAAATTGGGTGGCGAAATTATTGGGGTACAACTTTGACATTTGCTATAAACCCGGACGCGAGAATTGGGTAGCTGATGCTTTATTTCGTCGAGCCGAAGATGGAGAATTCACAACAACCATTTCGGAACCAATTTGGCTTTAGGGAGCCCAACTCTTAAAGGAAATTAATTCTGATGCGGAAATCCAAAAGTTAAGGAATATCTGGATAATCAAGTTCTTCACCCCAGTTATGTTGTTCATCACGATGTCCTTTATTATAAGGACCGGTTAGTTATTCCAAAAAAACTCAAAGTTTATTCTGGTATTGTTGAAGGAGTTTCATCAAACCCCTTTGGGAGGTCATTCAGGGTACCATCGGACTTGTCGCCGATTGGCAGTTAATATATACTGGTCGGGTATGATTGTTACGGTCAAACAGTTTGTTAAAGCTTGTGACATGTGCCAATGTCGCAAAGCTAGTTCGGTTGCTCCTGGGGGTCTCTTACAACCATTGGATATTCCTGATGCCATTTGGGAACATCTTTCTATGGATTTCATCCTGAGCTTACCAAAATCGAGAAGGTTTGACGCCATACTAGTGGTGGTGGACACACTTTCCAAGTATAATCACTTCATCTTGCTTAAAACATCCTTATAAGGCTAAATCGGTGGCTGAAATTTTTGTCCGTGAGGTGATTCGCCACCATGGAATACCAAAATATATTGTTAGTGACAAAGATCCTTTATTCCTTGGTCTTTTTTGGCAAGAGATATTTCGTTCTCAAGGGACTCAACTACATATGAGTTCAGCTTATCCGGAGTCGAATGGCCATACAAAAGTTATTAATCGTTGTTTGAAGACTTATTTACGGTGCTTCAAGGTGGATCAACCTCGTTCTTGGTCTTTGTGGTTACCATGGGCTGAGTTTTGGTATAATTCAACGTTTCACGCATCTACCAGAAAGAAGTAGTCTATGGTCGCAAACCTCCTACAGTTATTCAGTTTGTTCCGAGTGAGGTTCAAGTGCAAGCAATGGTGCAAGAACTGCAAGACTATGATGGAGCTTTGCGACAGCTCAAGGTCCATTTATTACGAGCACAAAATGCAATGAAAGAAAAGAGATGTTAAGTTTTAGATTGACGAATGGGTTTATGTGAAATTACAGATGACTATAGCCCAACGGATCCATAAAAAAATCGGCTGCTCATTTCTTTAGTCCTTTTAAGGTGTTGGATAAAATTAGGCCAGTTGCTTATAAGTTAGACCTTCCCTCATTATCCAAAGTGCATCCGATATTCAACGTCTCATTGTTAAAAAAAGCGATGAGGTCCTTGACCGAATAAGTTTTGTTCGCCTGATATGGTGTTCCTAGTCACTATTCTTGCTACGCGGTGGTTAATAATCATAATGAGTAGGTGCGGCAATGGTTGGTTTAATGGGAAAGGAGTCCGAGTGAAGAGGTCACTTGGGAAGATGCTTTAACAATTCAGTGTCAATTTCCAGAAGCAAGTCTTGAGGACTAGACTTTTCGGATGACGGGAGTAATTATATGAATTCGGAATTGCTTGTCCAAAATATGCCTAAACAAAAAGTGCTAACTGTTTATTCTAGAAGAATAAGAGGGGAAAATCAGGAAAGTGGCTAAATTAAAAAAGAGAGAATAAAAAAGGGAGGAGAGAGGGCGTTCGTGGTCTGTCGAGAAATTTCTTTCCATTGTAATGGCTCTTAAGAATTTTGCTCTGAGAGAGGCAGATTCCCTGGCCGTTCTTTGTCATTCCTTTCGTTAGTTCAATTCAATCAAACAATTCCTTCCCTAATTTCGTATTTCATTTCTCAAATCAATTTATATTTTCATCAACCTTTAATCTCAAACTCACCCATGAACTGAACTTATTATGGAGATTGATCGGTCATCCTAATATGCATCCAAATATGGAGATACCTTCTTACACTTCTCACCTTAACTCTCCTTCTCACCGGAAACCAACTCACCTTAACTCTCCTCACCGGAATCCAACCCTAGTTTAATATCATAGTAAATTAATAAAAGAATCAGCACCTTGACTAATCAGTTTACCCGGAATTTTCGATCGACAACCAGAACAGGACCGGCTTAACCAGTTACAATTTTCGGTCATCATGACTGCGACGGCCACCTAGTTATCGACAATCAACATCGGCATAAAAGAAAAACCAAGGAAAGATAAGTATGGTCCAAAATACAGGCATCCTTCAAAACAAGCATCAAGGTCTACAACCAAATCCCTCTTCTTTTCATTCTGAACAGAACAAAACAAAACCTGCTTATCGGTAACTCTTCATAGGATCTGCCGCCTTACCAGACCGCGCATCTGTCCATGCTTTTGCAATTGTCTTCTTCATTTCATCATCGCCTTCCTCATACATATTCTGCACAACCATTCACTCCTATTCGTCAACAATAAGTCCATTAAAAGGGAAACGTCTACCCTCAACAAGCAAGACCTTGCGTTTGCTCCTTAGAGGTCACCCGTTCATTTGGAAAAGAGAAATATAAAACTAAATACCAATCCACACATCCGACAGAATGCTTAATAGGACTTTAAGTTTGTACCGACTTATCTACAATAAGTTGTTGGATGAAGTTAAAGTTTGACAGTTCTATCTACAAAATTGAGCAACCTAACATGACACTTTTTTTATGATACTCTTTCTGTCCTATTAAAACTTTATCCTAACAACTTGTTGTAATGTCTTTAGGTAGGACACATGGTTCTTGGTCCTATAAACTTATCCCATTAAGAGCATCTCCAACAACTATGCTATAATTTTTTTTTAAATAGTCTTAAAAGTCAAAATCTCGAAAAATAGAATTACTTCGAACTCCAACTACTCTATTTTAGCAATTGCAGCAGTAACTATATTTTTTAAAATATGCAGCAGATTTTAATAAAATATTCTCTTCTAAACATTTAATTTCAATACCTCTTATTGATGGCTCTCCTATATAGTCTCGGACTCCAAATTTTAGAGATTTCCACCTTCTCTTCTTTTCTCTATTTTAGCATATTAGCACAGCTGTTGGAGATGCTATAAGTATCTCATCAAGACCTTAGACGCCCAAGGACGGTTCATAAAAGACCCATTTGTTGCAACGAAAACAATAAACACAAAATATGTGGAAACACAGGATTACCTTCATTAGGTCCATAATTCCTGCCATTGGGTCACGCTCCTTGTCTAGACTCGGTTTAAGCTGAGAATCGAAAACAAAACAACACTCCGTTACACCACTTGTTTGTATTCATACCAACTTATGATTTGAACAAAAATAGTCATTACCTTATCCTCCTTGAAATGCAGGTCCAACCAGTTACCCTTTGAAGCCTTGACCAATGTGATGATGACCTTTGTAGGCTTAACCAACACTTTACACTTCTCCGGTATAATCTCTTTGTTTAGTTTTGGTATCGCACATCGATAATTCTTCCCTTGGACATCATGAAATTTCACATCAACAGACATAGGATTGAACTCAGTTTGAACCTTTTCCTGATCAACTCCCTCCAGAAAAACATAGATCTGAAACAACCATCGCCCATCAGAAGAAATCATTTTCCATCTGAAAGTATTAAAAAAGAAGTATATATGATTCAAACTTTCAGGGAAGTAATCTGATTTACACTCACCTTGACTTTGTCGGTATCTTGATCCCAGCTGAATGATCCAAGTGTTGTATACTTTAATGTCGGATCAGAAACCACCTTTAAATTTGTTGAAACTGGGGCTGGGGCTGGGGCTGGGGCTGGGGCTGGCACAACTGAAGCTGCATCATTTGATAGCTGTAAACCCAAACGATTAATGATTATGATTTTGAAAGTGGAAGAGATGAAGACTTGTATCAAAAGTCAAAATGATCACATTCTTGTTGTCTTCTACTTTCCCCTCGTTGCTTCTATTCAATTAACTTAGGAAGTGTTTGGATTGCGAGATTTGATGGGATTTGGAATTGGATTCCGTTCCAATCCCAAGTTTGGTTTAAAGGAAAGTCCAAGATTGAAATCCCACAAACATTTGACTTAGGAATCCCATGGGAGTAGCTGGTATATCACAAGATTTCGTAGGACTTGTTTTAAAATATGTTAAATACACTTGTTTTATAATAAACAATTTAACAAAAATTAATTCAATTATTTTAATAATTTGTTTTTATAAATTACTTATAAACCAAAAACATCAAAGATTCAAATCCTCCAATTCCAGACCCCTCAAAAACACCTTAGGGCCTGTTTGGCTTGTGATATTTGGAATTGCATTCCATTAAAATCCCATGTTTAGTTTAAAGGAAAATTGAAACCCCTGGACTTCAATAACACAAACAGTGGATCTAGAAATCTCATAGGGTAGTTGGTATTTCACAGGATTTGTTTGTGATGATGTTCTAAAATATGTCAAAAACATTCGTTTTGCAATAATCAATTAATAAAAATATCCAAGCTGTCGAATTCTTTGTATAATGCTGACAAAATAACCTGGTGGCATCTTAGTGTGTGGACACAACCTCAAAGACATAAAACATAATTAGTAAACTTTACTATGGAAGCTCAAATAAAAAAATCAACCTATACCACAGAAGTTTGTCTAAAAACTTATAAATATGATTCTGTTATCTCACATGATCTTTGAGACTCATAAAGCAATTCAGAATACAATTTGTTCTAACTCTTTTTCCTAGACCAGAAAAAGATTTATAACACATACCTTATTGCTAAGCAAAGCCATGTTAATATCAAGTAACAGGCCATTTACCAAACGCTTATTGGTTTACACTTTCCTTACCAAGTGAGAATCTTACCCGGTGAAGGAGAAGCGTTTACCAACAATTTATTCTAATGGTCGAGAATGTTACCCGATAAGGTAAATGATGATGGTGACTCATGCAGGGTAAGCGTTTGGTAAACAGCCCCTAAATCATAGTATACGTATCATTAAGATGAGTTAAGCTATGGTAACAGATCATGAATGTTGACAATTGTCTTGTGCATATATTCCCATGTAATAGCAATAACTATAACCCCTATATTATTAGTGGGCCATGAAAAAAAACTAGCTTGAAAAGTTTTTTCACTTTTTTACTTCCGATTTTTTATATGCCTCCTCCACACATCCTAGTGAAATTACAGGAGTTTATCAATATAATAAACACACAATAAAAGGTGGAACTGATCCACATTAGATTAAGTAGAAATTTGCACACTCTTATGCCAGCTCAGAACGTTGTAGGAGACATGGCATAACAGACCGGAATGATGGACATTCTGTAAAGGTATCTAAACAAGAAATATTCCTCATCATAAGGTTATATAAAGAAGATTCCTTGACGAAAAAAGGGGTTGGAATGATTTCATCTAAAAGACCTTCTCTCTAATTACTCTTCTTTACTCGGATTCTTCATTGTTGTTCTTAGTTATTTCACAAATGAATCTAGTCTCTCGTTTCTTATCTGTTGTTGTTTGTAGTTGTTCCAAAGGTGAAATTAGTCTCTCAGATTATTTTGTCTGCAATAGCTATATTATATCTCCCAAGTGTATTGGTTTTCATCTTTTGTATCTTGTACCCAGACCCGGTCCATTAAATAAGAAAATATTACATTTGCCTACCCTTACATTGGTGCTTTCACTGAGAGCAACAAATAAGAAACCACAGACTAGTTTCACCTCTGAAATAACCAAAAAAACCAACAATGAAGTACCAGAGAGGAAATCAAAGAGAAGAATAGTAATCAATAGACCTTTCAGATAAAATCATTCTCACCCTTCTTTAAGCAAAGAGCCCTCCTTATATAATCCTACTATTAGGAATATTTTTTATTAGGAGGCCCTTGTAATATATATCCATCCTCCCTATCTATTATGTCATGTGTCTCTTCTAGAAGGTTTTTAACCAGACTTGGATTAATCAAAGTATGCATGCCCATTTCTTGCAGATTCTGATCAAACCTTGAAATCGATTCAAACTAATCAACCTACACACTCAAACAATCCATACAGACATGGTAATCACATTAAAACAATGGACGCAGAAAATCTCGATCGCAGCCAATAAGTTCAGTTTGCAAGTATCTGGTATCCAACAAGTGATTAATCCCTCTCAATCTCGAAATAAATTATATTCCTAACATTACATGCTCCTAAATTTCTTATTTTTCACAATTATCATATGCAGACCCTGCACTAATGACCTTCTATAATTACATTTACATATGAAACAAAACAATATCCATATGAACAGTAGTTATAAATTATCGTTACAATTAACCAACAATCACGTCAGGATTACGACTCACACATAAAAACCAAATCATCGAATCGTGTAATCACATAGATACCGAAAGAGAAAATTAAACCTTTTCGAGATTGCGAATCTCTGAAGAAATGAGGGATACAACACGTGGTCTCTTCGCGATGCTTTGAAGGTGTCGAAGTTCATCCAAATCAAGAGATAAATCATTCGCCATGTTATTTTTGATCACGAATCACAGAAAAATCAACAATAAAACGAGTGGGAAGATGATGAAAAACACAATCGAAGGGGAGGTTATATGAAGAATATGAAGAGAGTGCGAGGTTTAGAAATGGCTAGAACCTCGTTACTTCCAGAATGATCGGGAGTGCTCTAAAACTCTTTTATGGGCTTTGATTTAAGAAAAATGGGCCGGTTTGATCTATTAAACTTTTTTTATATTTTATAAATAAATTAGGTTCGATCCATGTATTACACGGGGTAATTTAAAAAATTAAATCATGTAGAAACTTATCTTACAGATATAAATTATTATCGAAAATACGATGTTACTCCATACTTGTACTTTTGAATAACTCTGAAGTATAACTATGCGAATAAATAACTCTTCAGACTTGAATTTATAATTGAAACTATATCAATTACACTTATTCTACTAAATTGACATCCAAGTAATTAACATAATTTTCAGTTAAAGATATTTAGTTACATGACCTCAAATGAGTTTTGAATTAAATCTATGACTTTTTCAGTAATATCGAGCCAACTTTCTATTAGTAATCCAGGGAGTCATGAATTTAACTAAAACCCCAAGGCATGTCTTATGCTTCCACGTTTTTCATCTTCTTCGGTTACCATTACTACCCTTTACCACGTAAGCGCTTATTGGTATCACTTACCTTACCGATTGAGTCTGAAAAAGAACGAGAATCATACCTGGTAAAAAAAACATTAGCAATGACCAATAGTCTTATCCGGTAAGTGTTGGTAAACGTATTGAACATGGTAAGTGCACGATAACGTTACACCATAAGGTAATTGAGGGTGATGTCTCTTCCGGTAAGCACTTGTCCGGTAAGCAAATGGTATGTGTGCTTTGGTCACTTTTTCTATTTTGATTCCCTATAATTCATTAATTATATATTGGTTCTTATTTTTGTGTTTTAGGGCTCGAAATAATCCCTCAAGTTCACATGGTGAGTCTAGGGTCTGTGAAGTCAGTCATGTGTCCCTCACATGAGAGCATTTTGGTCTTTTTACTTTTTGATCTTTTTCTTAAAAAATTATGTATCATTATATATATTATATTATATTTAATATATTATATGTATATATGATCTTCGTCCCCAATCCCGTTACCCCAATTGTTGCGCCTCTCTTTCTCAGTGAACAATCTCCTAATCTAAATCACTTGTCACTACAACATCAAAAGGCTCTATACAATTGTCACTTCAAGGTGCTCCAAAAATGCTACTCATTAAATGCCCCCATCGGCACTTCGATCCCTACTCAAATATCCTTAGCTTTGTTGCTTATGGAACCTGCTATACATGTCATTTTAAGAAGAAGAAAAAAACGTTTCGCTTAACGTCTAGTAAGATCACGATTTACAAATGAAGATAAGACCAGAACATAAACCTTTATCAAAACCTGATAATCCAAATATTACAATTTCAAGACTATAAAGTCAACAAACATCTTGCAATGACAGGGAAGACCAGATTTTCATTGATCGTGGAAGAACACAATAGTAAGTCACACTTCTATGTTACTGAGCTCCTCCCCGCTTAGGGTGCATTTGGTTAGGGGTGTTCATCCAAACCGTCAAACCCCACAAACCGCCCACACCGTGCCGCACTCCACCGCAATGCGCTTTAGAACTTTTGCGGTGAGTTTTGCCAGTTTTGCATTTTTACCAAATCACACTATGCGGTGCGGTTTTGAGTTATTAAACCGCGGTTCAAACCGCATCCCGTATTTTGTACATTTTTTTAATTTTATATATAACACACACATATATAGAATAATTTATTATTTTATATAATATTTTTGGACTTTGAGTTTATCCAATATAACAATTGACAATATTAATAAATTAGTTGGACACATGACGACTCACGCGTCAAATTCACTTTGAAGTTTATTTATTTTTTACTTCCTATAATATTTTTAATTATCCAATATGTATTTGAAAATTGGATGTACTGAAACTTTTTATTTTTTTTGGATTATGGTCACTACATTGTTGATTTTATAACATATTTTTGAACTTATGATTATTGATTGTATGCATAAAGTGCGATAGGTACAAACTGCATAAATCCCACTGCATTTTTACGGTTCGGTCTGGTGCAGTTTGAAATTTATGTGGTGCGGTTTGGAAAATTCTCAAACCGCATATGTCGTGCATTTTGCAGTTTGGCCCCAAACTGCACCACAAACACCCTTACGTTTGGTACACTAGACATGACATGACGGAACAAAACATGGTTCCATGTTTGACAGAACTTTTATGTGAAATAAACAAGAACAGAAGGGAACAAAGTGGAACAAGCGTGTTCCACCTCCACGTCGTGGAACAAGTTGGAACAGACATATGTTTTACCAATATGACCTCAAAATAAAACCTAATTATCTTCTTAACTTCAAATACGTCTTTCTCTTTACATTCTTAAATTTTATTAATTATATTTGATGTTTTCTAACCTTTTATTTTACTGCCCTCAAAATATTATTTTATACGATTTCTATATTTTGATCAATTTATTTATTTTATTAATTATTAATTATTAATAATAAATAATAATACATAAAAGGTATAAAAAATTGGAAACTACATAAATTTTTTATTTTGATGGCATTTTAATTGTTTTGACGAAAATTTTCTAGTGATATATTGTTATGTCATGTCCAGTTCTAATAATTCTATCTTACCAAACACTGAACAATCGTTATATCTTGTCATGTTCTTTTATGTCCTGTTTGTTTTATCATGTTTGGATACCAAACGTACTCTTATGGAACACTGGACATCAAGTTCAACCACTCCTAATCTATAACTTGAGTTACCCAATGCACCTAGGTATGCTCATTTACTAGAATTAAACCATTTCCAGTAACTCAATCAGAAAGGCACAAGCAATGTACACACCCAAATTTATGGAGTTCATATTTCCAAAATCTATATATATATATATATATATATATATATATTAAAGAAGAAACCAAAGATAATGGGGTGACATCTTCTAATGCTTAGAATCCCTCCTATCTTTTTTCTTATTTATTTGATTTTTTTAAATGTTGAATATGTTAAAGACTTTTTTGCCCTTTGATGAAAAATATATAGCTCATAATTAACCCGGGTTATTTTTGTAATTTTGTATACCCAAGTTTAACCTCCAACTCTTGATTTGCTCTTTCATTTACTTTCTTTTATTTCTTAATGAATTTTTTTTTTTGAAGTTTCAATAATAAACAAAATGAAATCATATAAAATCATTTGGTGAGGGATGAAGAAGGTGAGAGTTGAAGAATAATTCAAAGATTTTAAAAGGTATGTAGAAATTATATTCATTAAAAAATGTGATTTGTTATTACATATTTTTTTTTCAATATTGTTGGATGTGTTGTTATCATAGGATATGATTGTGTTTACGATTGGAGCATATAAATTGTGTTTACGATTGGATCATATAAATTCGAATAAAATTTTGATATTTTATAATCACATTATATAATAAACTTTTTTCGAATTTAAGTTTCATTACCAATAACTATTTATACGTGATTGATAATTATGTTAAATTTTGACTATTTAAAAAAAATCAATTAATATAAATCCTTTGGTGAGTAATGAAGAAATAAAAGTTGAAGAAAACTTAAAGTTTTTAAAAGGTATGTAAAAATTATATTATTTATAAAATGTGATTTGTTATTACATATTTTTTCTTTTCAATATTGTTGGATTTGTTGTTATCTTAAGACATGATTGTGTTTACGATTGGATTATATAAATTTGAATAAAGTTTTGATATTTTATGATTACAAGATATTATAAAAACGAATTTAAACTCCGTTCACAATAATTGTTTATACGTGATTGATAATCATCAATATATATATATATATATATATATATAAAAGAGAAACCAAATACAATAGGTGTTTTTCTCTAAATATTAGAAACTTGTCTTTTTTTTCCCTAAATTTTTGATTTTTTTAAAATATTTGATATGTAAAAGACTTTTCTATCCTTATTTTAAAACATGAAATTCATTAAAATATGGTTGTTTTGGTAATCTTAAAAGCTTAACCTCCAACTTTTTCCTTTTCATTCTTGGAGATGAAACCTTTAAACACTTTCATGTGCTCCTCCATGATTTGTCAATGTTTTTATAATATTAAATAAATTATATCATTCTACCCCTAAATGATAAATATGTATTCCATTATAAGAAGACTTCTATGACCACTTCCAACCTAATTAGCTTTAACTTTCACATTACATAACTTCATAGGGATATTCATTATACTATTTTCATCTACTAATTAAAATAAACTTACAATAAATGTTGTGGCACATTGTCAATATGATTTTCTCAAGAGATTTTCTCATTGTTTTTAATTTATGAAATGTGAAATAAGTTAAATACTTTTTTACCCATGAATGAAAAATGTGTATTTCATTATTTTCTACAAAATGAAAACAAAATTTTCCAAGCCAGAGATGTCCTTAATTGAGCATTTGACATCATTATTTTATATAAATCTAAAAGTAAAGTATGAAGTTTCTTATGTGACACTTTGTGGAAAAGTTATTTCATAATTCATTTTTTTCAAATTTTTAGATTTATTTTGGACTTATTTTGTTGGTTATATTAATTATCTTTCATCAACTCATAAATGTTCTAGACTTTTCGTTTTTTATTCTGTTTTTTATCTATTTATATATTTCATAATTCATTTTTTTCAAATTTTTACATTTATTTTGTTGGTTATATTAATTATCTTTCATAACTCATAAATGTTCTAGACCTTTCGTTTTTTATTCATTTTTTTTTATCTCATCTATATATTATATCTCATTTAATATTTTTAAAAGCAAATAAATAAACTTACAAATACCACATGAATATCACATTTTATTTGTTTTCAAATAAATAAATACATAAACATCATTTTAAGTGTTTTTTACTCCATAAAATTCATGTAAGAATTGTTACATTTTATATTTATATTATTTAAACAAACACTTAAAATGATGTTTATGTATTTATTTATTTGAAAACAAATAAAATGTGATATTCATATGGTTTTTGTATGTGTAGACTTTGTATGAAAAATAGAAAATT